ATTAAATACATATTTAAAGCCCATTCGACCGAGCTTTGACTAACGATCTTCCAAAAATACGTCCTGTATATGATTTAAGTTTTCAAGCTCAAGAAAAGTGGCCATTTCAAAGGACCAATAATAGTTACTTTTTTGTAACCTTTAGTGATTTTTTTGGCGTTATATTGGTGATTATTTTGTATTATTTATTGCTGGTGGCCCATTTACTTTTTTATCACGTATGTGGAATATTTCACCTTTTTCTGGGTCATATTCATGTCGTGCTTCCATATTCTGCTCATTTAGTATTTTATCTAGTAGTTGTGATAGTTTGAAAGTGCATATTATTGACTTATATTTGGATTTTTCTATCGTTTTCGTTCAGTTTTGGATTATATCTGCAATATTTTTACTTTCTTCTTTTTGATTTTTCTGTTATCCTGCGTTCGTTACCTCTTCTACATCTTCTTTCTGCTTTCAAAGGGCTCTCACCCCAAAGTTAAAGCGGGTGTTGTAGATGATTATACATGCTTAACTTCGACTGTTTATGTTCATATAATTCAAAAACCAGAAGTTTGGGAGTACATATCTTATATTTAAAAATTAAATCATTTGCTTTTGTAAGTTTTAGAGATGACGTGATACCATTGTTGGTAGGGATGATTAGACAAATTCTGCTTAGCGTTTTACCATGTAGGTGCACGATATTCAAAACATTCATATAAAATTTGACAACATTTAGTTCACTATAGTTTCACGAAGTAAAAGTTAAGCTTTTTTTTATGATAACTTTGTTTTATTTTACCTAGTTTTCAATTATTTACAATTATAACTCAAAAAGCAGCAAAAAAAACGAAAAGTTACGTTCATTAAGTCTTTGATAGCGCTTTATATATTTTTGAGTTCTTTTAATTTTAATTTGCCAAATATTTTAATACACATTTCAAATATGCGACCCCGTATCAGGTTTGAATTGTTTTTGCAAGTTTTGAGCAATAAAGAAAATGTATTTTCATTTAGTTTGCCAAACAGTAATGTTATTTACGTTTACAAAATTTATAAGAATATTTATAACTAATATTTTATTACACCTGTTCTTAAAATAAAAAATTGGTCCCCATATTTTTAGCTTTTACTGTTTTATTTTTTACGATTTTGAAACTCTTGAGTGCCGCAGTGTTTGGGTAACCGAGGTGTATCATTTTGGGAACCGATTTTTTTTGTAAGTTATTTAAAAGCATTTTGGAGGACTTTTGGTGTTCTATGTTTGGAAAATTCTGAACTGGCCTGTTTTTGAATTAAGTTTGGGACCTTTCTTTTTTGAAAATTTAAAACAATCTAGGTTCGACTAAATGATCTGTGGCGCTTTGGTGTGGGTTCTTAACAATGGACTAAAATTGTAAAGTTTTTTGGCTCCGATAAGATAACTACAAATTTATTAGTCAACTTGTAATTATTTAAATAATGATTCATTTATTAATAAAATGATCAAAAAATGGCATCTAATTTTGGAACATGTTGTTAAGGTCTCTCTATTGAGTAGAGAAAAAATAATTTAAAAAATCCTGAGCCCAAATGCAGGAGATATAGATCTTCAAAGTTTAATTTTTCTTTTAGATACTTGACCATATTTTAATTCACTACTTAGTGTTGACAACACGAATTGATCGGACTTTCATTACTAAAAATAATGTTGGAATTGTTCATAACGAACCTGGCAACAGTAGCTAATTTCATGTTTTCTCGACGTGTCATGATCCCTACAGAATGAAAAAAATGGGTCTCCCATTTCCATCTGTCTGTCGTCTGTGTCGATATTTATTAGGCAAATAATCTCCTCACCCACAACGTAATAACGTTACCTCAAAGTTTTGCATAGTAAATGTTATTTAGATTTCACAAAAGAACATACTTTTATGTTTATGGTTCATGAATCCGCCTTTACTTTTTACTCTAAGGTTCTAAGTATTCCTGTTTGGAAAAAATTTGAAAGTGTTTTGCAGACTCTAGTGTCTTTTGTTATAATAATTTAATTAAATTTCTTAGAGGATATGTACGTCATTTGCCAAAATCAGTCTTATCGTAGCAGTTACTACCCCCGCCCACCCACCCTCCCTTTTCTTAGAGGGTCTGTCATTTGCCAAAGGCGGTCTTATTTTAGCAGCTACTAGCCCCGCCCACCCACCCTCGCTTTTCTTAGAAGGTATGTCATTTGCCAAAATCAGTCTTATCTTAGCAGCTACTAGCCCCGCCCACCCACCCTCTCTTTTCTTAGACAGTTTATTATTTGCCAAAATCAGTCTTATCTTAGCAGCTACTAGCCCCGCCCACCCGCCCTCTGTCTTTTCTTAGAGAGTATCTCATCTGCCAAAAACAGTCTTATCTTAGCAGCTACTAGCAATAGACAAAATTTTCCTCACCCCAACACTATATTCCAACAAATACAGATTCTTCGAAAAATGAAAAAATCTATTTTGTAAATTATGCTTTTTCAAGATAACTCTTATAAATTGAATAAACCGAGGCGGATTCATAAACCATAAATAGCATTTACTCTGGAAAATTTTTTGGCGACGTCATCTACATATTTGTGGGGATAATGAGACAAAATTTTGGTTACCGTTTTACCATCTACACGATATTTCGAGAATACAAATAAAATTTGACAAACAATCGGTCCAACAGTTTCGGAATTGTCTAATGACATCGACGCAGATGACAGATGATAGACAAACAGACGGAAACGGAAAAATTAGTTTTATTTTGTTGTAAATATTTTGTTCTAGACAGTGTTCTTTAATTTGGAAAGAAATTAAAAAAAAAAACAAGAATGATTTAAATCAGTGACTTTTTTGAAAAAAAAAAGTTATGTGAACTTCAGCACATAAACGTTCAAAGTCCCACAGGGTTCCACTTTATTGTCAATTTTGTTTTTAATCTATACAACGAATTTAAAATTTTGTAAAAGTTGTGTTTCTGCCATTCAAAAAATTCAAATTTACTCTCATTTTGATACTTATCTTATATTTAAAAATCCTCGTAATATTATCAATTTTGATCTCGTTAAAAATTTGGGTCTGACAGTAGATGAAAGAAACCCTTATTTGTCATTGTTGTTCCTAAAAATTATCCGATCTTAGAATATAAATTATAAATGATGCTTAGTGAAGCTTTCACCAAATACAGCTAGCAGAAAATCCAGAACAGTAGTAGATTGATTTGTCCTTTATAGAAATTGATCACGTTGAAAATTTTTTTCAATGCCATTTGTCGGCTCTCAATTTAAAATATATCTGCTTCCTCACACTTCTTGGCAAAAAATTAATTAAGAAGAAACCTTCAGAACGCACAACTTCGACATGTCACAATGTGTCAATGTCACAACACTATAGAAATTTTTTCTTAAAATAGTTCACCTTTAAGATATAACAATCCATAATCTAATTGGTCTTTTTAGAACTTGTTAATCAGTAAACAACTTCCTTTAGGAAATTAAACCTTGGTTCCTTTTTTTTTTTCTTATTCTATAGTGTACGGTTTCTCCACATGTGGCTAATCAATATCGCTCCTTTTTTCTTTTCTTTTTCTCTTTGTTAACTGTTGGAGGAAAAGTACAAAAGCTTATTATGCTAGCCTTCGCCCCAATTGTAGTTTATTTTATCCTTATTGCTATTAATATTAACTTTTGAAAATTCCAAATTCAAGTTTATCCTTTGTCCATGTCTCCTTAACCAGTTCTACTTGTTACTGTTAAATGGTGTACTTGTAGAATACTTCGAATCCTTCTTTTTCAAACCATAACCCCATTTGGCAATATATCTATTGTTTTTAAATTTATTTTGCATTTATCACTTTTTTGGTTTCATTTTTCGCTTAATATTTTGTTAAAGGAGATAAATTTTCTTGAATGCCAACTGTTTTTCACTCAACGATGTTTGTAATAAAAGATATCGGTAAACACGATGAGGAAGTAATAAAAGTGTCTCGGAGTTAAATACTCGCTGGGGGAGTATTTAACTTCATTTCTGTTGATCCATACATCTTTATACGTCTTTTATTCCTACATCTAAATGTCATCTGGTTTCAATTCAATATAATAAGGAATGTCAAAAACAAGTTTATATTTAATATTTTATTGTCTCCTGGAATAGCCTATTTCGCGCGCTTGTCTGACGTTCCAAAATTAGTAATGCAATTACAATTATGTAATTAAATTAATACAATTTCTTTGTACTAGTATGTACATAACTATAAAATTATATGGTATAAAGTTTTCGCTCGGAGGAGCTCTGAATATCGATAAATGTCATTTATTTACCTCACAATTTTTGACTACAAAATATTGACCTTGGTGGAAATAAATAAGCACGTAATTAAGAGAAGCGATTACATTCCTACACATGCAAAACAAGCAATAAACTACGACATACTCTTGATAAATTTATAACAACCTAAATGTTTTCGTGGTAAATTACAAAGGCATCACTTAATACTTAATCAGTAGCAAACACTCGAAGTGTTAATTTCTCGTCACTACCAAAGAATATATTGTTATCTGGTAGAATCTGATTTCAACCGGACTCCATCGCCTCAGGAATTAAGGACAATTATTTAAACAATAATTGCAAGAAAACAAGTCCTCTCCCGGTCACTCGGTGGATCGATTCTTGCAGCGGTCGCCCCATAAAATCAGTTTTTCACTCAAAAACATGCACAAAGCGCACATCCAGCTAAGCTAAACAGTAAAAATCATATCTGGAACAGTCCTGAGTCTACATGCAAAATGGCTTAGGCGGAACTTGCCACTGAAATCAGCGTAGGCCGTGACAGGAACAACTGAGTAATCGTCGCAGTGACAGTCCTAGCCTCCTGAGCTTATTACTTTAATTTGGATAAAAGACACAAAGCGGCTGCTGTCAAAGAAGTACTATTGATTTTCACGCAGATTTATGGGCCGGTCGAGCGACAACACCCCATTAATTATCTCTCAAGGTTGGTCTAATTATCTAATCGTTTCTTACCGTTAAATGTGGCAGTTTTGTTTTATCAATTTACAAAAACACAACACAGACACAGTTTTCGACCAAGCCAGTACAGCTTCCACTTATTCGAATGACGTTTATGCACTCGCACTAATGTTGTAATGCAAAATGAGGTCTGATTGGTTGTTAGGCGTTCACGTGACCGGGGTTCAAGTGAATTCTGGATGAAAATCAGGGACGGAGGTTAGGTGTTTTGACGGTTTTACAACCTCAACAGACAAGGCCGAGTGGCGTAATGCGACACGGTTAGGGTACATGTGATGGAAATGGAATGTGGTGGAAGATTTATGCTTTTGTAGGATTAATTAGTAGGGTTATGTGTGAGGGGGTAGTTGAGGACGGTACGCCCCTGGAATAAGAACAGGTAATAGAATTGGGAACAGTGTATTGATTTTGGAAGTTCGAAGTGTTTCGAAGACAGTGGTGCCCTCTTTTGAACAAATAAGTAAATGCGACTAAGTTGGTAGAAATCTATTTTCCAGTTATAAAAGTATTTTACAAATATCCAAAATAATATATAACAGAGTATAACATATTACTTTTTAGAAAATAATAATGCTGCTGTATGTGATCTGAATAAAAAGATTGTGAAATGAAAAAAAAAGTTGGCCCATGAGGGGATCGAACCCGCGACCTTCGCGTTATTAGCACGACGCTCTAACCAACTGAGCTAATGGGCCAGATAACTTCACGCCTTAATTCTCCGTTTTTCAAATAAATCTCATCTTGGACAATAGTTTTATATAATTATGTTAAAAATTAAAAAAAATCTCTTATTTCAGATCTAAACTGACTCTACTGTTTAAATAAAATACAACCATTATGTTATTATTATTATTATTATTTTTAAATATTAATAAATCCGTAATCCTACATATATTTAGGTATTTAAGAATTCAAATTGTGTTATAGAGTACAGAAACACAAGTCAGAAGGTAATTACGGTAGTTAAATAAAATTTTAAATTTAAATAGTGTTGATGTCTGCAACCAGTAATACACACGTGCATAGACGCATATCTATCAACATACAAAATCTTTTAATTTTTTTTGTGTGGTATTTTACATTTTGAAGCATAAACTTCTGTTTGGAGAAGTGCTTTTAAACGATATTTTTTGTGTCAGAAACTAGTTCATTCACTTGGACACTAATTTTAAATTCATTGTTATAATTTCAGCTAAATAAATGTAAATTTTGTACTTCCTGAAGACGATACTGTGTACTGAAACACGTCGTTTTCAGCTGCCATCGATAAATTTTAGGTTAATTGTAGACATACTTCACAATGTTTTCAAAAAATCATGGCCACCTTGACGACTTTTTAAATTGTACGATGTGCATTTGATAATAATAATTTTTTTTAGAAGATTGTACTAAGTCAATTATTAATTAACTCCTCACCTTATTTGTTGCTAACTTCCACAGTGTGCGGGAAATAATAATCTACATATATGTGAATGTAGAAACTTAAGTTTGAACGTTATCCGACAGTTTATTTACTGGAAATCAGTAAAACTGGATATCGACGCTGCGTCAAAGCCACATCCATCCAACAGTTGTCGAATTTTTTTGTTCCAGACATACTCTTTTTTTCGCTTTTGCTTTACAACGTCGCGCTTGGAATTTTTTTAAAGCTTTGAAACAATTTTCACAATGACTTTGACCAAGCGCTTAATCCAATTTGTTATATATATGTGAATAAAGAATATTTTCGTGGAATCGGCGAGATAAATCATGCTACATTTCTCCACTCGACTTGTACTTGGTATAATGTTCAGCTGTAGGTAATTATTAGAGAGCGGATTTCTAGGTTTAATGCTTTTTGTGAAAATTGTAAGCACTTCAAAACTTTTTTATATCTGTAACTACGATACAATTTGGAGTCATTTGACACATTTTTTTATGCTTATTTGCTTTTTTTCAATTTTATGCATATTAAAACTTATATGCTTATTTAATGCTTTTTTCGACGAATATTAGTTTTAATGCATATTTTGTTCAAATGCCGGCCTTGTTAGTTAGCCGTATCGTATCGTATGCATTTTACCTGGACTTGACCAGTGAAGTACACTTACTCAAGACCCTTTCTGTGAATAGGTTCCGGTCGTTTGGGTAATAAAATTTTATTATAGGATTGGAAAAATACTCCATAGATTTTATGACTTTAAATCCTTACTTCCGTTGATAATGAATTAAAGCTTTTAACCAGATGTTCTTTTTCGGCATTTTGCGGCAAGACCGTTGAAGATTTTCTAGAAAAAAGGATTACCCAGCTACCTACCTTAAATTTTTTCTAATGGAAACTTTTAAGTAAATGAACCGCTTATTTCACAACCATCAGTCTATCGCATCTGTCATAGTACAGTGTTATACGTGGTTCTCCCTTGTTACATGTTGAGTTCTTTTTGGTAATATTACTAATATTTTAAAAGAATGCCGAAAGTAAAATCGACGCCGGATGAGTGGATAAGGGATTTTCCAGAATTAAAATTAGAAAACAACAAAATATTCTGCAGAGCTTGTGTGAAAACCGTAAGCCCACTATTTTTTTTTTATCTATTTTTCTTTGTTAATCCTGTATATGTACGTTGTTTTAGATTCAAAGTGATAAAAAATATAACGTAACGCAACATGCCTGAACGACTCTTCATGTAGAAAGGAAGAAAATGTTTGAAGTTTCTAAAATTAAACAGCAGACCATATATGAATTTGTTGCATCTACTTCTACAAGAGATGAGCAGTTTCAGTTTAATTTAGATTTATGTAAAAAAAAAAAAATAGTATTTGATAAGGTAAGACTGATTTTGGCACTTTTAACATTTTCCATTTTTCAACTATTTTTGAAAATAGTGCAATACATTTTCTTCTAGCTTTCGATATCCAGATGTCATTTTCGGCTTCATTTCTTCAGAAATTCCTACCATTTTTCGAAAATCGCTAATTGAAATATAGCAATTTTTACAGTGGCGTCAAAATTGCTCTGTATACAATTTTTGTAGATAAAAAGGGAAATTTTTATTAACATTTGCTTCACAAAATACAATTATTTTGAAAATGTACTTTGTGGTTTTATAATATTCACAGAATTGTTTAAAATCCTAGGTTCTATTACTAGTGCCACTACCATTTGACAGAAGAACATGATTAGCCCCGCCCACCCACCCTGTCTCATTTCAGTGATTAATTTTATCTGATCTGATTGAAATGAATGATCTTCAACTGAACATAAATAAAATTAGTCGTGAGAATGAGAAGAGGGGGGGTGGGCGGGGCTACTACTTAGTAAGATAAGACTGATTTTGGCAGATGACATACTTTCTAAGAAAATAGAGGGTGGGTGGGCGGGGCTAGTATTTGATAAGGTAAGACTGATTTTGGCACTTTTAACATTTTCCATTTTTCAACTATTTTTGAAAATAGTTCAATACATTTTCTTCTAGCTTTCGATATCCAGATGTCATTTTCGGATTCATTTCTTCAGAAATTCCTACCATTTTTCGAAAATCGCTAATTGAAATATAGCAATTTTTACAGTGGCGTCAAAATTGCTCTGTATAAAATTTTTGTAGATAAAAAGGGAAATTTTTATTAACATTTGTTTCACAAAATACAATTATTTTGAAAATGTACTTTGTGGTTTTTATAATATTTACAGAATTGTTTAAAATCCTAGGTTCTATTACTAGTGCCACTACCACTTGACAGAAGAACATGATTAGTCCCGCCCACCCACCCTGTCTCATTTCAGTGATTAATTTTATCTAATCTGATTGAAATGAATGATCTTCAACTGAACATAAATAAAATTAGTCGTGAGAATCAGGAGAGGAGGGGGATGAGGGGGGGGGGCTAGTACTATTAAGATAAGACTAATTTTGGCACTTTTGACATTTTCCACTATTTTTTAACTATTTTCGAAAATTAGTTCAATACATTTTCTTCTAAATTTCGATATCCAGAAGTCATTTTTGACTTCGTTTCTTCGGAAATTTCTACCGTTTTACCAAAATCGTGAATTGAACTATGGCAATTTTGACAGTGGCATCAAAATCGCTCTGTATAAAATTTTTGTAGATAAAAAGGGAAATTTTTATTAATTTTTGTTTCACAAAATACAATTATTTTAAAAATGTACTTTGTGGTTTTTATATATTCACAGAAATGTTTAAAATCCTAGGTTCTATTACTAGTGTGACTCCCCCTTGACAGAAGAACATGATTAGCCCCGCCCACCCACTCTGTCTCATTTCAGTGATTAATTTTAACTGATGTGATTGAAATAAATGATCTTATATTGAACAGAAATTAAGTTAGTCGTTAGAACGGGAAGAGAGGGGGTGGGCGGGACTACTACTTGGTAAGATAAGACTGATTTTGGCAGATGACATGATTTCTAAGAAAATAGAGGGTGGGTGGGCGGGGCTAGTATTTGATAAGATAAGACTGATTTTGTCACTTTTAACATTTTTCAACTATTTTCGAAAATTAGTTGAATACATTTTCTTCTAGACTTCGATATCCAGAAGTCAATTTCGGCTTCAGTTCTTCAAAAATTCCTACCGTTTATCGAAAATTGCTAATTTATATATAGCAATTTTTACAGTGGCATCAAAATCGCACTGTATAAAATTTTTGTAGATAAAAAGGGAAATTTTTATTAATTTTTTCTTCACAAAAAACAATTATTTTAAAAATGTACTTTGTGGTTTTTATATACTCACAGAAACCTTTAAAATCCTAGGTTCTATTTCTAGTGCCACTCCCACTTGACGGAAAACATGATTAGCCCCGTCCACCCACCCTGTCTTATTTCAGTGATTAATTTTATCTGATCTGATTGAAATGAATGATCTTATACTGAAGAGAAATAAAATTAGACGTGAGAGTGAGAAGAGGTGGGGGTGGGCGGCGCTAGTACTTGGTAAGATAAGACGGATTTTGGCAAATCACATACTTTCCAAGAAAATAGAGGGTGGGTGGGCGGGGCTAGTATTTGATAAGATCAGACTGATTTTGGCACTTGTGACATTTTCCGCCATTTTTCAACCATTTTCGAAAATTAGTTCAATACGTTTTCTTCTAAATTTCGATATCCAGATGTCATTTTCGACTTCGTTTCTTTAAAAATTCCTACCGTTTTTCCAAAATCTCTAATTGAACTATAG